TCCCGGCGTGCCAAGGGAAAAATCACCCCACCACCTCTCTTGCTGCCTTCGCAGGGAAAGGGAGCCCTGCCACTGGCCTCAGGAAGAAGGGCCCCCAAAGCACACTCCCTTTGCCCTGTTTTCAGTCTAAAGTGGTTTTCCACAATGGCAGCAGCATTTTCTTAAGAGGAAGGACCCTGATGTGGGGTTTCCCTCTGCAAAGCAGCAGCCATGCAAGACGTGTTGGTTTTTTTCAGCACCCTTTCTTATCTGCCCACAGTCTTGTCAAGAGGGAAACAGAGACTGGAAATCAAACAAACCTGACACCCAAGCAGCCTGGTTTGCAGCCCTAAAGCTGCTCTGCTCCTAAGCGCTTCCCCCATTGCTCTGCTACTCCTGGAAACACCATGTAAAACAAAGAGGGATGTGGCGCTTCCTTCATAGCTATTTGAAATTCTATTTGTTGTTGGTGGGTTTTTTGTTTAAATATAGTGCTCTTCCTCCCACAGCTCGTATGTGAATTCCTGCTATCTAAGATGGGAAGAAATCTTTAATCCCCTGTTACAAAGAGCATTAAAGTGACAGTCACTGGCAGAGGACTGGTAGAGGGTTGCAGATGCAAGTTTGCTGACCTGAGTGACAGCTGATCTCCATGAGCTGTCCCAGGACAGCAGATCCCTGGTCCTGTAGAGCTATAGAGTTCTCCCTGGCCCTGGGCTTCCCCCATCAATGCACTTGCCCACTGGGATCAGGAGTCTCCCTGAAGGGAATACATTGCTACAGGTGGGTGCAGATGCCTTCATGTTTGAAAACATCCCTACATAAGGCCATTCAGAGCAGAGCTGACACTCCTGTAACTGAATGACCCCCTCATTGCACCAAACTAACACGTTTATGTTCTGACCTGTCAATGAGCAAAGTCAGCCCTGACTTAAAAGCCATGTGGCCATACTCTTGCCTGCTCTTGCAGAGGACTGAGTTTATTTACATGACTCAGGTGAAAGGTTTGGCACAGCCCATCACCCTCCATTGCATAAGCTTTGCATACACATGCTCCTCCTGAAGGTATTGTGATAATCCTGTCTGATCTCTGCTAGGGGGAAGGTTCCCCAAATCTCAAAGAAAACAAGTATGTTAAGTGCAAACACATGGATGACAGCTCAGCCCTGTACCTCCCACTGTGTCTCCAGCCATGTTGCTTCCACATGTAAGAGTCTCAAAACAACATCTGGGCCTTGACTCTGTGGAGCAGGAAGGCAGCCCCTGCTCTGGGCCATGGTCTTGCAGCCTACATTGTGCCAAGTAAGCTGCCTGGGGCCAACAGCCTGGGTCCCACAAGCAGCCCTCCTCCCTTCCACCCTCCCCAGCTGCAGAAAACAGCTCATATTCAGTCTCATCAAGGCATTGGGGATATAGGTGAGATGAACTATGATCCCAGAATATTTCATGAACACATCTTGAATTTCAGTGAATCTTAAGATGTAGTCGTGGCACAGAGGAGCTATGCTTTGGATACTGAGAACACCAGAGAGCAGCAGGCAGTAATTATTGCAAGAAGCTTTTTGCTCATTTAGGATAGTAAGGCTGAAGAAAAGTTGGGGAGTTAGTCAAAATCAGCTTAGGAGAGGCATGGACCTCTCCAGCTGTCAGCCTGCACTGATTCCCTGCTTCCACAGGCCTCTCAGCTGAACTTTGTCCCTAAATAGATAAATACTTCTCTCAGCTTCTCTTCCCAAGGGGCTCCAGCTCACCATCCCCAAGTAACCCCTATGTGTCCCCCACATACCTGCCTTCCCAGCGTTGATGTCACCCAGATGTGAGCAGAGGGGTCCCCAGTGGATGGAGCCCCAGCTCTTCTTAAAGCTGAGCTCTGCCTGGAAGATCTAAACCGGCATCCCAGGATGCTGGGTTGTTATAAACCTCAGCCTCCCCGTGCTCTAGTCTAAACTAGAAGTTGCTTTTCTCTTTGAATAGTTGGCTAGCGGCAACATGACATCAACAGGGAGCAGAATTCAAGCAGAACAGACGAATTACATCATCCAAAGGAACTGGAGCCCCTCACTGCATTTGAAAAAGAGGATGACTTAAAACAAAATCAGATGGATTTATTTTTCCTGGCACGAAGCAGCTCAGTCATCTTTTTGAAACAGAAAATATACATTTGCTTGTTTAGTCATGAATTAAAGACATTTTCTCCTCAGAGCTGTTTATATTATCTTGACATTTTCCTTTTGTTTCTGAACCTCAAATAGTTAACATAAGGGCTTCAAAGTCTTTGCGGGATGAACACATGGGACACAGGACTTTAATTCTCTTTCCACTTCATCCATAGATAAAGGGTTTCAAGTGACAGAATAGCCTTAGTATTTTGAACATCAAACCGAAAATTGGCCTCAGAAATCACTGTGTTGGCAATGCCAGATCTAACCAATGTATCTTTATCATCTGGCTCTGATGTTTTAACTTTTATTCACTGCTACTAAAGAAGACCACTGCATGAAGGCGAAACTTGTCCTTTACAGCTGCATTTTAGGAGGTTGGTTGTATACTGGAGTGGTAAAGCATTTAGCTTTATTTATGGCTGAAACAAAATTGTGAGACTTACATGCAGATTGGCATCCAGCACCGTTTGTGCCAGAGGACTGCACCCTATCCACAAGGGTAGTGTATGCTGTGGTGTACTCTCAGGTTTTGGTCCCCCACTGTCACAATCAGCAGATTACTGACTACACTTACAGCTCCCTTCCAGCCCGGCTATCCCAGTTTCACTGTGATGACCACCCAGTCGTGTGGAATGATTGAGAGTAGTTGGCAAAAGACACAGCATTGTACAAACAGTCAACATTAGGGGTGGGAATTTTAGCAGACAAGAGATGAAATAGGGCAGTGCAAAATGAAGGAAAATTGCAGTTACTCTTCACCATAGGCTAAAATTGCCAAGCAGTGAACTTCCTGGTTATAGTACATTGTCATCTAATGGTTTATTTTCAGACTAGACATGAAATGAATGCATTTTGAGAAAAAATACAGAATGATCTGAAATCACTAAGCAGCTGTTCAAAAAATTATAGTCAGAAATCTTATAGTGCATCTGAAATACAGCATCTGGTGAGAGGTATGTACCATCCATGTAAAATGAGCTACTTTCACTACAATGAAATTTTCAGAGTTCCAGACTGAAGCTGAATATAGGTGGCCAAACTAGCATCATCTTGGAAAGAACATGGACAAGCCATCTGAGGCAGAAGAACAAGGTAGACCTGGCACTGAGTTTCCAGTATTCACTGGACCAGAAAGCAACTGAAAGCACCTTCATGCTAGCACCTCAAATCTGTTCTAGCATGAAGTCCTGTGGGGAAAAGGAGAAGAACCTATTTCAATACCATGGTTTTCACATGAGAAGGTATTTTTTTCTCTCAGTGGTCAGAAAAGCCATATAGATACAGCACTTCTGAATATATCTGTGATAAAACATGTACACCTCTTTCTGTGTTTGGATCAGTACTGGTGTTTGCTGAGTTTGGGCATTTATTTCAAGAAGATAGCTCATTGCCATGAATCCCAAGAGAAGGAAAGCACCTTCAGCAAATGTTTGTTCATCCATCTAAGTAGGGCAAGGCAGCCAGCTTTCTCCTTGGTGCTTCCAACCCAAGACAGCCAGGCTAGCCCAAAGGGCAAGCTTTCTAAAATGTCCACTGCACTCACAGTTGGTTCTTGTAGCGTGATAAAGACTTGGATCAAAGCTCCAGATAGCATCTGCTCCAAAGTCCTTACAAATACACCAAACATGGGAGCCAATAAAATGGTTTTGAGAAAACAAACAGTATGGTATGCGTAAATAGAAAGGTTTCACAGTTTAAGGATGCCAAATATTAGAAGTAACAATTACTTCAAAACTTACAGTTGAACTGCTTGTGTGGACATTTGCTCACTTTTCCCCTTGTCCAAACAGAAATTGTGGATTCAAGTAGAACATCTAACTATGAAGTGTGCTGTATATTTTTCAAAGTCTGAAATGTCTTGTAAGGGGAGTATGTAAAACACCACTCTGCTAATAAAACCCCAAACCCCAAAGTCCAAATCTCATTAAAACCTCCTTTTCTCTAAACTATTTCTGACTTTTATAAGGAACAGTTCAAACAAGCCACTGCAATTCAACAGCAATGTAGCCTCTGGGAACCCACAACATTGTTTGTACATGAAACACTTGCTTCCATGTGATGTACGGTGACCACCACCAGCAAAACAGCCTAGCTTGCTAACACTGCCTCATACAAATCCCTTTAACTCCACAGCAACTTAGATCTGACAGTAGTAGGAGCAACAGCTGAACTATGGCATCCTGATAGCACAGATGTGTATTTGGAGATGCTTCAAGTAAGTTGTGTGTCTACAGGGGGAGAGAGGCAGGAGGTATTAATTTAAGTACAACATTAAAATTAATGTTCTTTTGATGTAATTGGTTATTTTTAAGCAGTATTTAGCACAGTGCAGAAGATGTGCTTGGATTTTGGGGGGCAAAAAATATTAACAAAGTACTTTCTGTTAAACTGTTATTGAATGCACTCTTTATTATTTTCAAGGTTAGCACTGCTGGTGAAGATAAAATAGTGCCTCTCGGCTCAAGTCTCAAGCTTTCAATCCACACAGGAAGTTTTTGATTTATCATCCATACTTAGAATGTAAGATATTTTTATGCATAGACATTAAGAAACTCCAGAATTACATTCTGCTATAAAAACCTGAATGCTGAGAGGTGCTTGAGGTGTGGAGTTCTTTAGTTTTTCCTTTAAAAATATAAGTCTGGAGTCCAGCCTTGGTGTGGTCAGTAATTCCAGCAACAAGTTCAAGGACACAGAAGAGAAAGATCCATAACCTACTGTGGATACATAAACGGAGGTGGGAAAATAAGCAGCTTGCCAATAGCTACTATGCCTATAAACCTTAAGTAGCAGGATTACAAAATCGTAGTCACTGACATATTACCTTCCAGAAAGAAGCTTAAAAAAGAAATTCTCAGGTAATTCAATATTAGTTTATTAAATCAGCAATGTTTATCACCACTTTCTAAAAATGATTACAAAGCGTATTAAAATATATTACAGTATCTGCAAAGAATTTATTGTGTAATAAAAGTGCAACGATAATGAGCTTACAACTTTGTTTGCCTAGCTGGACAAACTGATGCACACTGCACAGATCAAGCCTTCCCTCAAAAATTAAGAGTGCCTTTGAAGTGAAAAATACAGTATTTAACAAAAATATTAAAAAAGGTGAGCACGCGAAGTAGAAAACAAAGTTAACGTTCATTCTCAGTGCTAAGTTACACATACCCATTAAACCATACACTTCAAACTCTGCTTGAATTCCAACAGCAAAGTTCCACTGAAGCGAGTGCACGCTGTACAGGGAAGGAAACAAGAAGAAAAAGAGGGAACATTTCAAGTACTGGGGACAAACGATGTTGAAAGTCAGGGACCAGATACCGCTGCTGTGAGACCAGGTTCCACACAAACCCATTAACACCTCCAACTAACAACTGGGACCTCACCCTGCCCTAAAAATCTCTGTAAACTCACCATTTTCAAGCATTACAGCTGTAAAGGCTGCTGCTGTCCTGAAGTGTGGTTATGAGTGGTAGCCCCACATTTGCTGTTCCAGTCTACAACAAAATTCTAATTCATTCCTGCGGGAACAGAACTAGGGTTGGGTGTTAAAACTGTTTCAGAATAGTTGGAAAAGAGGTGAAAGCATCAGTTTCTACTTTGGTTCATAGCAGCGGACTGCATCAGTGGGCACTGATTTCACGGGATGAATTACAGTTTTGAATGGTCTCGCAGCAAAGATAATCAAAATCTTAGGCATAAAAAGGCCAACGAACTCAACACCTTCATCTTTCTTCAGCAGATCTTAGTATCAAACTAACACCAAAGGTTACTTTGTGTAACTGCTGCTCCCAATAACAATGCAGCACAATTTCATGACAGAAGGTAATTCCACTGACTTCTCACGCTACTAACACACAGACTCACTGACTCCACAGAACATCTTCCAAACTGTTGCATGTGGCTGATTCAACTAACTGAATGGGCTTGCAGAATCTGACAAGCCAGAGCACCAGCAGGGCAAACAGGCCTGTGGGTCTGTGAGGAGGTAGTGAGAAAAGAGATCCCCTCCCCTGAGCAACAGCAACCTACTGTATTGGAATAGCTGTGCAAGAAACTGCCATTTGAAAGTACATAATGAAACATACTTTATTCCTATCAATGAAGTGCAATGCTAGTGCACCTACTTAGAAATGCATTTATGCATGTAGCTCTGCACGCCAATCCTGAAACACTTATTTTCCTCCAGATAAACAGAGAAAATCCACCTCTACTCCTATTTATGCTTCATGCATTCCCCTTCCAAATCCCACAGGAAACAAAGCAAAATATTTCAACCCCAGTGGACAAAATATGTTAACTTATCAAAATGATGCATTTCAATTTGTCTGCCTGAAGCCCAAGCTAGCTTACTGTTATGAAGACTGAAAAAAAGCTGTGTTCTCCATTTTATTACCAATAAAGCCAGAAAAACAAAACACTGAGAAACTATCCTGCTCCTCCCACTGAAGGAGGATATTCCTACCAGCACGGGATCACATGGCTCCAGTGTATTTGGAGCATCACCCCTGGAAGTTTCAGTTCCCACCACCTGTAGCATGGGTCCACCTCTGGAACCCTGTGTTGCTGAAGAGCAAGGTAAGGCAGACAGAGCTGGAAGACAGCAACTTCCCTGATCCTCTCAGCTCTGCGCACACTACAATAGTCACAACACAGAAGCTTTGCTTGCTTTCTCCCAGTGGCTTTACTTACTAAGCTAGTCAGACTGGTCTTCAGTGTATGAATTTATTACTGACTGCAGACACTAATCACAAACAAGCATACATTACTACTCCTGCAGCCTGTTTTACAATTCCTGCAGTGTTTACAGACTACTTTTTGTTCAATGAAAAATAAATTACATAGAAAATCTGTTACTCTGCAGATGTACAGTCACACAGGTAGACTCATGGTCAAGTTTCACAGCTCTACTAAAGTGCATGGACATGCACTAAGGCTAATATGGCTTCTAATTTAGGTCTAACATAAATAAAGCTGGTATGCTTGAATGATGAGAGAAAAACCGAAGAATTAAAAAAAAAAGCAAGTAAACCCTCAAGAACAGTTTAAACATGCCAGGATATCCTTGATACAGGCCTGGAAGTCTGGCAAGGTAAAGGTGTTCTTCTGTCATTACTTAAAATAGCTTCATTTGTTTTCCCATGATAGAACCCTGGCAAAGTTCATAGTAATTTCACATCAGAACAGAACAGATGCCAAAAGATAAGAGGTCCAGAAAGATCTTAAGTATTAAACCTGACTGACAACCTACAAACATACATTTTGAAGAAAGAAGCTTTCTCTTCTTAGGTCACCTACAAATCTGAACATGTAGGTGTGACTAAAATCTCAACTGGGAGACAATACCTAGATTACATCCCTCCCCTCCCCTACTGCAAGGATGCTAAGATACTTTTTGGCTTGCTCTGTCTCAGAAGGCACTACTGCTACCACTTGCTGAGACTCAAACAAAAAGTGCTCAAAACTACAGTACCTTTGATGTGAAGGGTGTTTCATACAACACATGGAATACAAGCCAATTCCTGCTCACATGCACAGAGCAAACTAACTGCCAAGTTTGATTTTAGAGAAGAACTGGCCCTCCCTGAAAGACCCAAGTTCACAGGGCCAAATATTTGCGTTCTTTTAAGGTACTGATAAAAATCAGTAAGAAGCTGTTATGTTCATCTTGGATTGTGTTGTTAGAAAAACTAATGTTTATTAAGCATCCATTCCTTTCACAGATTGTTTTTGATAAAGGAGTAACATCTGGAGGGACCAGTCTATCATTTATTACAGTCAATGTAAGGATTCCTGTTAACTTCCCTGTCTCACATCTGCCTTCATAGGAATCAAATCTCTCTTTTGTGGTTGTCAGCTACACATTAACGAAAGAAAGCGTTAAAAACTTTTCTTAAAAATATAATATATTAAAAATATAGAGATAACTGTATAATTACCTGTAAATAGAAATTAAATACCAGTGAAAATTTCCCAAGCCAATGTGATGTGTTTTGATGAGGCTGACTTTGAGCAATGCACCTTTCCTAACAGAAAGTGAGGCTTGATTTTCAATGGAAACACAATTTTCTTTTTTTCTTTTTTAGCTTATGAAAACATTCTGTTGCCACTTTGAACAATTCAGGAATTTACTGTCTGCAGAGCAGCTAAACTGAAACTTCAACAGAAACTCCAAGCCCAAGGAACAAAGGCTATTCAGTTCTTCTAATCGTAATACTGCGCATATAGTGCTCTTTTAAAATCGAAGCAGAAGTTCTTCAGATAACAAGACACAATGATGACAGCTTGAAAGAATAATTTTAACATTTTGCAGTTCCAGCTATAATCAATACAGTTGTGAAGCACATTTGCTTTTATTTTGACCACTTAAAAAACTCTTCTCTTTTTCTAACCCCTTATTAAATAAGAAAAAGAACAAAAATAACATTTCCTTTTATATCAGCCTTTTCTTAAACTATAGAGATGCTGACATTCACTCCATGCCTGAAGTCTCTTTTAGCATAGAAAATGTTCCTTGCATAGGCAGGCGAATTTAATATTTAGAGCTTCCTTGCAGTATTTAAAGTTGTTTGGAGAAACTTGTGATTGGAAGTATTTAGATTGGGTGACGATCAGTGATCTTTATACATGACCTTTTCTGCTTTATGGTTCTAGAGCCAGCAAGACATGGAAGCAGGACTACAAAAAAACATTTTCACCTTAAGACAGATCTATACAAGGCACTTGTGATAAGCATGTCTGAGTGAAGGTCAGCAGGAACAGCTACATGAATGTTTGTCCTGCTACCGTGCTTCTAATTTCAGTAACTTGTGTGAAATGTGCTGTGAGGTTTAATGATCTAAGCCTAATTTCAAATTTTGGTGGTTTCAACATATTTGTTGAAAGATTTCCAAACCCCTCATTCTTCTCCCTTTATTTTTCACTCTGCTGTCTGGAAAGGTTTCCTGTGAGATGGTGGCACCAAGTGGAAAGGTAGCGTGCCAGGCAGTTCATATCCATCCAGTTTAATCTTGATGAGATGTTTTGCTAATGCAAACTCCTCATCATCCAACATGCCATCACCATCACAGTCTGCAAGTTTCCAGATCTTCCCCAAGACACTGTTGGGTAGTTTTGAAGTCACCATCTCCTTCTTTGCACTAATCCCCGATATTTTGCCATTGATTGGTGACAGAGTGTAGAAAATCTCATCATAAGCAGGTTTATCTTTGGCAACAACCCATTCCTCTTCATCAGCTCCTTCCTTAGCACCTTCTCCATATCCGTGGCCAAAAGGTCCTGCCATGGTGCCATCAAATGCTCCACCATGTACAATCTCTGTGGGCATATTGCTCTCTTCTTGTCTGATCAGGTTCATCAGGGAGGCAATTTTGTTGGCTAGCATGTTATCCACAGCTTCAATTAGCTTTGGTTTCAAAGAATGAAATTTAGTGAAGTCATAATTCTCCAGCAACTCCTGTAAATGACAAAGGTTTCAGTGACAGTAGTCAGAAACATTTCCAATACATTGAAGACACTAAAGAATGGGCTTCAGATTAAAATAATCTGTTACCTTTTGAAGCAGTTTCCATAACTGAAATGGCTCTTGAAGTTCTCAAAGCAAAGCTGACACATATGTACCACACACACAATATATTCAAACACATTAAGATAATTTTGCAACAGTGTATGAGCTTGTCTATTAAATTACATTTACAAAACAATTTTCAAAGTGGTAACGCATAAAATCATGGCAGCTGATGAATATTACTGAACAACTTTCCATTTGGTGATTTTCTTCCAAATATCAAAGGAAACATGTAAACAGGTCCTCAGTCCTGCTAGCACTTATGCAATGTTTGAAGTTAAAAATAAATGCAAGAGTTTAGAGGCCTGATCTGATTTTATAGATCAAACTTCTTGCTTGTAGTTAGGCCACGAAGAAGTGTCCTTTACCAATAAAGAAAAACTGAGCTGGGGTAATAGCAGCAGTGTTTTCACAGAAGTGCTGCCAGAACTCATGAAGTCCTATGGTTCCTGCCAAGTTTTCATCTTGTACATAACTCTAGTAACCTCAGCAAGATGTTTAACTAGGTGATATGGGCTATGCCAACACAAGCCCAAGCATGTTTTACACTAGAGCACTGGAAAATTAAAAATGCTTTAGGCAATTATTAAATGATTTCTACTTGCAAAATGCTAATCAGGAAGAGACCAGTGGAAACAAAAACCCCAAGCGTGCACACCTACCCAAACCCCTCTCAAAATTGTGTTAACCTGCTTTAACGGATCCCTTCTACTACCTCAGGGAGCTGCTCCCATACATATCAGAACTATAATGGTATGAACCGAAGAAACCTGAAGCACAGGCAAGTGGCTTTGCTTACGCACACAGAACTTCGGATTTCTCACAGGAAAACTGTTCATCAACACCCATCACTCTGTTCAGGTGACATTTATACAAAATCATGTGATTTATGGCAACTGATCAGTATAAAATTATGATATGCAATACATCTTAGAAAGCAAAGGTCAAACCTGCTGTCTTGGCACAATTTTGTTTTCTGTAATTCTGCTCCTCATTACAGAAGTGACTGATCTCTCGTGTATATATTTGCTGCCATCTGCTGCTGAGACTTAGTGACATGCACTATCAGTTTGATGAAGTTCCATTCAAATTTTGTTTCAGTATTGAAACTGGCAAGTGACCACCTCTCATTTTCTCATTTTTCATCACCAACAAAAGGGGCAAGGGAAGAGTTAACTTTTTCCATAGAACCCCCTTTAAAAGCTGAACTTATTAAATCCTTGAACAATCCTGTCTGTGAAAACACAGATGAAACAGATCTTGTGTTTCATCTATAATTTACTGTCTCATGTTAATACCTGATTCACATGTTACTTTAGTTCCCAAAAAACCCTATTTGTGCATTGCTATAGATTGGGTTACCAGCCAGTCCTCACTCTCTATGATTAGCAGTGTAAGCATATCACGTAAGTTGTCAGAATGATATGCAAGTGTCAATCTGGAAAACATCCTCCATCATGGTCATTCAGCATCCAAGCTGAATTATCTTTAATTCAAAGGACATTTAAGCAGCTTATGACCTGTGATCCAAAAGTTGCAAACTGAGGCTTGTGGAATAATTTGAAAACCATTGCTAACACAACATTAGCTGTACTTCCCTAGGGTGCTCTCTATAAACAACTCACCTCAAATCAGAGGACAGAAATAAAAAGGTGAGAAAGTGACAGGAAGTTGGTAGTAAGATTGCATACAGTTCAAAAGAGAAGGCAAAAGTAACAGTATAAATTGAGACTATTCCTCCCACTTCATAGAATACAAGCTCAAAAAGACAGGATAAAACTGAAAGGCACCATTTTCAGAAGAGATAGGTTGCAAGTTGTATTTTTCACGTAACACATTGCCTTTGTTACTAGCAACTAGTATCAGTAAGAACGAGAACAGAGTAGGGTAAAAATGAGTAATATGTGACTAAGGATTTCCTCACCTACACAAGCACATGATAGCATTACAGAAGCAATATAAAATAGGAACCAGCTTAGCACATAACTGTCCACTGTCACTGTTTTTGAGCAAAACCTTTAGTAGTACTTGCTATGAGAGATCAAGTATTTACTAATAAGACAGAGGGCTTTATTCTCATGGCATCTGCTAAAGTCTTGTATCAGTGAAGGCACACTAAGCAAGTGACCAGGTTTTTCTGTTTGTATACTGCTTTCAAGTCATGCTAACCCCGTAACAGACACATGATCGATTATCACTTCAGATGCTCTATTGTGAAGATCCTAAACTGTAATGCTGAGATACTCTGTCCTACCTTTTCTAATTTGGCAGTCCCAGCAGAAATTTAGTACTGTTTCAGTGAAACTGTAATCTATAATCCTACCTGCATTTTCTTGACTTCAGGGAAGTCTCCTGCTGAGATATGGTATTCCCTTTGCAGCTGGATGTAGATCTCTGGCAGTCTGCTGATCAGTTCCTTCTTCTTGTTCTCTTTTCCAAATACAGAAGGCATTTCTTTTTTCAGATAGCTGATGATATAAGCATGAACCTAAGAAGAAGCAAAACTGAAATCAAGACTGCTGTTTACCTACACTTAACATTAATACTCTTCACCCATGTCATAAAAAGAAAGTTTCTATAAGCCAGATCAAGGATAAGATAATATTAATGACTGTGTCTGGAACTTCACATTTACATGAACAGTTACGCACTAGCTTTTGCTGCTTTCAGCGTTCCTTTGAGGGCGCAGAGAAAGCAAACATATTTAAAAGAAATAGATGCACACCTGCAGTGTAAGGAGAAGGAATGTACAGCATTCCATCAGTACCAAGTGTGAAAGAAAAAACAAGGCCCCAAAACTACATTCTTATGTGACATGCGTGGATCACACAGAACACTAGCCATACTGGTCCATCTGTCTCAGTGCTAATGACGTGTAACTCCATTTGCCTCACCAATTATTGTGGGAAGAAATGGAATAATGCTTCAAGAAATCCAAGCATGCTAAGTCAAGGGCTATCTAACTGAAGTGACACTGCATTCCTATCTATTTATTCCAGAGAAGTGAGTACCTATAATCTGTATATATGCATCCACCAGAGGATGATAAAGCAGTCAGTATACTGTAAGAACAGCACGCCATGGCTGCCTTGTGAAGCATTAGTGAGAAAAGCAGGGCCTTTCCAGCATATAAAGACATTAATTTAAGATGACAAGCTCTAAAACACATTGACACTTGCAGAGCTCTTAAGAGTTTCCTATATGCTGTGATCAAGTTAATCCAGCACTGCCATCGAAACATCCATCCTGCCCATGCACACTTTTTCTGCCCTTACCCAGAACCATTCATCTCTTCCCCTTTACTGCCCTCAAACCACCTTTCACCACCAAAAGGATCTGCTTAGCCACAGAACAAGTGATCTGGTCCAGTAGAGAGTGGTTGCACTTAACTGAGGTGATTTCACTTACTCAGTTCATTGTTTGGACACTGATGTTCTGTGCATGAAAGGGAAGTGCCAGGGCAGCCTGCTTTATCAGAAATGCACATCTATCACGACTTAATGTCATCAAACTGCTTTCCTAAGCTCTGACCTGGCCAGGACCACTGAAGTGAAATGATCTTCACAACAGGACAAATCTTTACAAAACTCGAGTCCTTCTTCATTAAAAATAGGACACAGCTGTTCCCAAAACAGAAGTTACTTGAATTTTCACACAGAAGATGGACTACCACAAAAAATGAGTAGAAGAAAAGGGATTACACAGATGTGGTGGAAGTATAATACTTAATATCTATGAAAACAAGGCAGAACGTGCCTTAAAATATTCTGCACAAATCTTACACAATCTGTACAGAGGTAATGCTCTCCCATTCCTTTCCTTACTTACTTAGGAGGCTTACTTGAAACTGGAGGAAAATAAGAAAACTCTGTTTTTAAAGAAAAAATGATGTAACTAGTTTTTATTCGCACAACTTTCACACAACATCACTTCCTCATATCTAAAAAGAGTGTATGCATTTTAATTGCAGACACATTTATATTTCTACAGAGGAGAAAAAATAAACAGCATGAAGAGGCAGGGTTTCTGCATAAACCCATGAAATTTTCTGATAGGTTAGATATGAGCATTCAGAAAGACAGAACTGATTCAGTAAATGTCTGTCTAAGAGAGTTTATAAATAACTATGTAATTTTATGGATCTTATGTTTAAAAAATACTTCTAGAAAAAAACCTGAAAAGTATATATATATATATATAGTTCACAAGCACCAAGAGCTTTGCACGTGTATGCTAAGTGGTCTAAGGTCTGCTAGAAGGCACATGTGTTTCTTGTAGATAAGAACAGTTCCCCTCTTCAAAGTGGGATAGTGAGTCACAGGACTTAAAAAAAAATGCCTGAATTTGACAGCAAGTTAAGAGTTTGCTTTTGGTTTTTTGGTTACTGAGTATGTTTTAGAAGAGATTAAGAACCAAGTGGCATAGAAACAGGAGGGGAAAAAAACTGATACAATGCTGCAAAAACAATTTTTGAGTGCCTGTATTTCAAGTTCAGTTGGAAGACAAAACACAACAGCAGGAAGATTCCATTGCTGTTTTCCTGCAGATTAACAGTGTATTCCCCTTCCATAGCTAATTAGCACGTCCTATGAGCAGTGTATTTTGTATTCACCTTTATCCATTTTTATTTTACATTACCAAGAAACACCTAAAGATGATCCATCTGACACCTTTCCACTTCAAAAATGACTGTAAAAATTGAAAGCAAAAAGCTGCCAACCACATCCACAAAACTGAGATCACAGCAATGTGTAATAAAATATCATCAAGAACATAATTTAAATGGAATTTTCAAAGAAGCAACTGCCTTTAGGAGCGTGTGCTAAAGCTCAGGCCACAAAAAAAACTGAAATCCAAAGCAAAACAACCTTTAAGCACATCGTTATGATCAGAGAGTTAATTAAGACAACATAAGAGGTGGGAGACACCCTCAGATGACTATTCTTACATCAATGTAAGTGCAAATCCTCTTCATTTTTGCTTAGAAGTCCACACTGCTCATTCAATTAATTTAGGGCTTATTATCTTTTCTTACCTTTGCAAGTCTTGCCCTCTTAATGAGATCATTGAGTTTGCGCACAGCAGCCTTCTGCGGGAGACCCTGGATATCCTTGAAGAGATCCTGTGCCTCGGCTTCAAAGAGTCTTCGATTCTCTGTGTTTCGGAGAGGATTAGACCAGAAGGAGCCAATGTAGACTCGCAGCACCTCTGGAGTGTTGATCACCTTTCCCAGGGACCACATGAGTGCACCGTAGACCCTCATCAGCTGCTGCGTGTCCACTTGGTCAGCCTTATTAAGCACCACTCGAATCTTGTCATCCTGGCCCCGGAATGATTTAATAGCCTCTGAAAACTCATCAGATATATCCAGCTTATGGGCATCAAAAAGGAGAATGATGCGATCAACCCTCTCGGCAAACCACTGGAGGACCTGGCAGAAGTCGTAGCCTGAAGGAAGAATATACTATTACAGTCCTGACACTCAGAAAAGCAGGTCTCGGAGAATGTAGGGCTGGGGATAGATAACAAGGGACTCACAGCATTACAGAGGGGGGAAAAAAAGGAGATGGTCCACCTGGAGGAGAGCATCTGTGGACAATGAGGTCAGGCCGATTGTATGCCATATTTCCTTAGACCAGTCTCACTGCTACAGCCTTTTATTTTTATCATTGCCATTCCTTCAACCTTGCCATCCATCTCTTATGTCACTATCTTCTGTGCTGCTGTGAGTTACCATCTCACACCCATGTTTGCTTCTTCCCAGGAGTTCTGGCTCCAGCACAGCACACAAGCCATGCAGGTCTGTGGGGCTCTTATCAGAAGCTCTCTTTGTTAATGTTAATACTGACCACTTTGGTAGCATTGCCTATCTGTACTGACAAGGGAAACAGTGCAGGTGCAGCACTACAGAGTAAGTCAGCAACTGAAAATACCTGGATTTCAAACCATTTCCAAACTCACCTCCTTTTGCATTGCAACACTTGCTGTTATTTCTGCCACAGCAGACTCAGAGATAAAATTTACAAGTAACGTGCTTGTGTTGTTGATGGCTTTGGGGACGTGACAGATTACAGAGCCTGAGCTGACCATTCTGATCACCCGAAACTTTCTGATGTTCTGAAGGAAAGCCTATTCTTAGCACCTGTCTGAATGCTTTTATAAGTGCAGCTGGGGCCTAATTCATACCACAAACAGTATTCAGGAGCTGCTTATTCAGAAGTGACACATCTAATCTGTAGAGAGTCACCACTAGTGACATGGCATGGGGCTTGGCATGGATGTGACTCAGCTTGGTTGAGTAAGGAACAGCAAGGTATGAACTGCGAGCCAACATCCCACCCCTCCTCTTCCTCTTAGAAACAAACCAGAGCTAAAAGAGGGAGTGGTCAAAATGCAAGGACTGGTGCAAAGTAACCCAAACAGAATAAATGTTTCCTGGCAGAATATGTTCAAATGCTTAACAGTAAAGGAAGTTCAGTTACCACCAGTGAGCCCTCCAGGGTGTCTTGGGTCATTTCCCAGCTGTGCAAGATAAGCTTTTAAACCTCCAATCCCCCAGCCAAGAAAACCCGCTTAGACTACTCATACATGAGCCAATTATTCAACACGTATACACCTGGCCCAGATACAAGCAGACTTGATCACTCCTCATTCTCCCTAGCATCTTTTAAACAGTATACGTAAAGTATATACCCAGGCACACTGTACAGTTGCTTAACTCTTCTTAAAACAATTCAGTCTAACAGGGAACCCAGAAGTATCTCAGCACTTCTTTTGCTTTCCAGTAGAACCTGGCTAGGGCCAACAGCAAGAAAAGCAGACATACATGAAAGTTGTAGGAAAAAATGGTGAACTCCAGCTTTGTCATAGAGCATACTTGCGTATGTTTAGCAACACAGGAAAGAACTCTGACTTAAATCTTTTGTTTCAAAAATAGAAATAGAATATGAAATGAAATCCAAACATTCTGGTTAAAAGTAAGAAAATGTCCCCAGTTACCTGTCTGCCTTGCCTCTCCTCCCCCACCCCTCAAAAAAAAGAAAGAAAAAAAGATAGCATAAAACCTCACTAAAAATCCAACACAAATATGTCAAACCGAAAGGAGAGGGCTATGTTCAAAAGGTATTATTATGATCCAAAAGGATGCAGGTCAGCCTCATTAGCTGTCTATACAAAAAAGAAAAGCCAACATCATCTTTTCCATTAAAAGGATTACTTTGTAAGGAATGCAAAATGTGGCCCCTTTCCAGATAATGCAGTTCCGATGCATTGCTACGTTCTTTCCTGTGACCAGTTCCTGAAGGGGTGAAGGCAATATGAAAGGTAGGGGCATGGAGGAAAGCTGCACAAAACACAGCTGGAAGAGAACTCACTTAACACTAACAATCTAATCAAAACCAGCGTGAATAATTTATCTTCATGAAAATTCAGCAGGAAATAGAGAAGTGACACATCTTGTATGTCACCTGCATGTCACCATGTATTTGCAGCAGTGCACAAATCTGAGCTGTGCAATAACCTGTTCTGATTTCAGTCATGTAGAAGAAAATATGCTTGAAATAAAATACATAAAGTTGCAAAACGAAGCAAGTTTAATCCTGTGAAGTCTTCCACAAATTGATAGGTGAGAAGGTGATTTGTAAGGCTGGTTAAATAAATATTAATTCCCACCACATGTTTGATGGATGTTGAACTGTAAAAAACCAGTTTTACAGTCAACAAGTGCATGTTAACTAGCAATAAATTTATTTTAAGTATGAATTAAATATTAATAAAGCATTTGTTTTGAGAAAGAAAAGTCCACTTGTTGAAAATGGGTAAGAAACAGAGCTCATTAAAAACAAAAAAACATGAAAAAAATCTATTCATTTTAATGAAAATGTCATTAGAAGTGAACCTGGTTTATATACAAATTCAGTGGTTACACATTAAAGTATACCTGAACTACAGAGAAGTGATATATCGTTAAATATTTCAGCACTGAGACACAATGCATTTAGGATCCTGTCACATACAGTACCTGTGTGTGGATTAGGGCTTTCAAAGTTAAGCAGTACTAGGTCAACACCGGTATGTTTGGAAAACTTAACCAAAAAAACACCTTGTGTTGATATTTCTCAGCCTCTTGATGCTCTACCAAGGCTGATTCTTTAAAGGTTTGCTCCCAGTGACTGATGTCACAGCAATTACATTCAGCCTGAGGATCTGCGTCTCACCAGGTACAATACTAACTGGCAAAAGCACATTAGAAAGTCACAAGTCACCATGGTAAGGGCCAGAGGAAAGCAGTGATCCATCAGTAGCACTGCAGAGCTATTGAGCTCGTCCCAGGCTGCACAGCGGGAGTGAGCTGGTGCCTCTGACAGAGGCATAACTGTTGGGCATCAGTAACAGGCTGAGCAGAAACCACAGAGAAGAATAAAATGAATCAATGCAGAAGAGACTACAAAGTTTGAGAGAAACTGCACACGGTTACCAGCGCTGGAAGCACTGATAAGAGGAATGATCATGAGCTCTCACGTGTCACCAGCATGGGGCAAAGTACCAGGCCCATGCATGACAGCCTTACTCAGAGATAGAGCTGTACAACCATGCAGGATGAGCTTGGGTCAATTTTCTGAGCCAGTTAGCAATAAAGAATTAAGCAAATGGTAGGTTTCTGTTGTGGGCCCAAGGTAAATGATTTCTGCCTTGCCCTAATACCGTCTCCCAAAGCTTTTGCAATGCAGTAAACAATTAGGGAAGCTTGATGGGCTCCACCCATCCTGTCTGAGCACAGATAGTCTGAGCAGTGTCCAGTTCTTCCACCCCTGGGGCCGGCAGCACCGGCACAGCAGAAGAGAGGCGGCTCTCAGATGAACGCTGCCATGAGCAGCCTCTGAACTCAGAACAGTGCCCAGTTACCAGATGAAGAGAGTGATGGGCAGAGGGGTGGGCAGAGTGATGGAGTGATCCCACCTGCCATTTCTGCCTAAATACCACACAACCAAGATTACAATTTAGATGTGGACAAATGCATCCTTTTCCCCATGCCCAATTTGCTGTTCTTTCTAAAGCTTTACCACAGGTGAGCACCTAAATTTCCCAGTCTTCAAATGGAGCTTAGTCCTACATGGGAAGATGCACTTCTTGCTGTCCAGAGTGGAAAATTCCAGATACGTTAATGAAAGCCTGTCACAATCCAGTGCTCCTGGGTAACACTGTTAACTGCACTCCTGCTCGTGGACTAATCCTAAGGAGAATGTACAGTGCAAGAGAAGTCTCTCACGCCAAGGGAAAGCCTGACACAGTGCTGCAAATACATCCATCACCTTACTTAATCCATGACTACATTTCCACCAGCCAGCTTGAACTGAGAAGATTACCTGTGTTTAAGTAATTCCAGTTCTAAAAATGCAAGCTAACCAATTTTCTACAAGTTCCTCTGAGCTCTTTCCCCATACTTCTTGAAGCCCTTGCCTTTGTGCCACTCAATCATGAACCAAACCCCACCTCCCTTTCTAAAACCAGTTCCTCCCCACACCCTGCTAGACATTAATTCTCCTTCCTCCTCTCTTTACACTCATTGTTCCGTCCAAATCTTGCAGATAATACAAACATTTCTGCCTGACATGGGCTTTGTGAACGTCACCTGTGATGCTTCTGTAGCATCAGGGGTGACGTTCACTGGGATGAGCTTTGCCTGACTTTGGACAATGCTGGCACAGGTCTGCACATTCTCCTCCAGCTACTTACGCAGTGCCTGGACCGACAGCCAGGAAGCTTCTGGCACATCCTCCTGCCAACAACAGAAGCTGGAAAGGTGTGCCAAGAGACACAGTGTTGAATGTCGCACCCTGTGTCTATTTTTGACCCTTCAGAAAGTGATCGGTTCCTTTATCCATGGCCTGGGTGCTTTCCAGAGTTATAAATAAAGCATGCTGGGAAACCGTGCCTATCCTGCATTTTTACATCATCCCTTTGCTGTTTTCTTGCTTTTTAAAACTGAAAGTTAACCTTTGATTCCTTTCTTGGTGTCAGGAGACTTCACATTCCTCCTAGTGATACCTTATAAATTCTATCATTATGCAAGTGTTACATTCATTCATATGTAATTAGTTAAGCAATTACAAGATGATGACAAAAAACACCAACAGCAAAGAGTGAAGGTTTTACACTGAGGTTCTGTGATGTTATTCCATATTAAAACATCACCAGTAAGAAAAGTTGCTGTTCAGTAATGTTAGAAACAAACTAAACTTCTAGAAAGGTAATTTAAAAACTCAGATATGAACAGACACCAATAATGTGCAGAATAGAAACACTTATTCTAGGGTGGGTGTTATTAAATGCCATATTCCATGACTGAATTACCAAAAAAAAATAATAATCTCACCTTGTATATATTATTTAGAAAACAGCAGAAGGATTAATAAGGAAAAAAAACAAAAACAAACCCCCCCCAAATCAACCAAAACCCAAACAAAACCACAAGAGAGAAACAGAAAGAAATTAAAAGCTAAAAAAATTGAACTCTTAAGATTCTGAAGCACAGAACTGTGAAATTGTCACAATTCTGAAAAATATTCTGAAGAATCACTCTTTCAACTTAGAGCTTTCCTGGCGAGCACAGAAAAGCATCCCTATGTGTAAGTCTGTAATCACCTTCACAGTGAAGGAAATGGCAGTTCCCATAATGAAGCACCCCAGCTGCAGCGTTTTCCAGTGAGAAGCAGAGAATTTAAGGGGTAACAACACACATTCTGTACGATGTGTGTAGAAAAAAAGCTTTGGTGGCCCTAAGCTGTACAAACAGAACCTTCTCTGACAGAGACACATTTAGGGGCAGCAGAAAACTTGTAGAATCCTGCTTACATTTGAACAGTGTTTTAAAGAGTAACCTAAGCAACTCAAACTTCAAAACATGCTAAATTAGAGTTGTACCATAAACACGTTGAAGTCAGCCTGACTCCTTCAGGAAGCAGGTCAAACAGGCCTTGCTACGTACAGCATCACAGAACGAGTTCAGTTTGTACTCCACAAAACCAACTGTGTGGAAACTGCATAAGCAGCCCAAAAGTCATATACAAGAAATGCACCTGACTGCAGCAGTTCAAACATGGGTGAGCACAGTATTGCCTAATCATAAAAGCATGCAATGCGTGCATGCAATAGGTCCATACAGAAACTTTTTGGTACTCCAGGTATGCTGATGTCTAAGTATATGATGCCTTAAACCTTGGTAGCAGTTGCCCTGCAAACATGGGGCACAGAGAACCGTGCTCTAAAGCTAACCCGCCAAAACCTTATGTATGGTACAATCACACTGGTTAAAGCGAAACCACATTTGTAATAAAATAACTGTGCCAAGTTACATATTCAAGACAACCCTTAGCACACTTAAATAATCATGAAATCTAGTCAAGTTACTGCCTGTGAAACAGGTAAGTTTGAGGTTATTGCTGACGACTGTCAACTTCGGTGAAAGTCTAACATACCAAAGGGCAGGCCAGCTAGGCCACAGAAACAATTGATAAGGCGCATACAATCAAGAAACAGAGTTTCTGAACAATAAAGGAACAACAGTCATATGTTTTGTAAAGATTAAAGAGCAGTTCTAGATGGCAGTGAAGAGCCATGGTCCTTTAAGCAACTACCACTGAAACAATCTGGAGTGAAACACAACTCTGTTCCACACATGCAGTCTGGGACTTCCAAAGCAATCCCTAATAGTGTTCAATTTTGTCACACAACTGGCCACCATTTCAGTGGCATACTAATATGATGCTCTAGTTTTCTGCTTATTTCTTGTCCACTTCCATACTGCTATGAAAGCGGCAACAGATACTTGAATGCTGCCAAGCATCTTTTTTCTTTGATTTAACAGAGAGGGAGAAAGATGTGCCTAATTTTTCTTGTTGGAGGAAAAAAGGGAGCTAGAATCCACAACAGACAAGCTCAAGTAGGAAACTTGAGACCATCTTTTATTATACCAGACTTTCTGTGTAAACAGAGACTTAGACATTTTGTGGACATCTCATGAAAAGATTTTTCAGGATTAAAGATCATCAGTTATACACTTGGTTATTTCCACCTAGAAATAAAAGTGCCAGCATGCAGTATTTGTTTTATTTATCTGATTTCATAGTATTTAAGCATATGCTTGCTCAGATGTAGGCCACTCATGCTGTTCGGTTTTGCTAATTCACAGATATATCACACACAGGAAAACACAGCTTTCTCCCCAAGATGAATGCTTTATGAATGACAAAGAGGACAAACCCCTTACATTCTGTCACTAAACAAAGAACCCAGAAACATCTAGACCAATTTACTAAGCAAGCATAGTTTAGATTGCAGTCCTAAGAATTTAGTCTCTTATTCTCTCAGTGCAATGGAAAGACAAGACTATGGTTGCATAGTTGCCATATATTGTACTTATTCCAGGATTTCGTCAAAAAAAATCCCAGGTGTGATATGTCAAAGAACTGATTATTTTCCCTTCTCACAGACATCAAACACACAAGTTGCCATTTCTTAAGCAAAGGTCTGAAAACAGAGGGCAGCATAAGCCACACACTGGATCACTGCCATTTACAACTCCACAGAAATCTGACATGCACTTAAATGCAGCTGAAGGAAACCAGGAAGAAAGTTATTTACATTATGCCTTTTTGGTTTAGTAGTTTCTCAGAGACAGGCTGATTCCTCACACAGCATGTTAAACATGGGTTCAGTTCTTTGCAGAATTCTCATTAAAAACATGCTCATTCCCTCTTCTTGCTGCTACTTTAATGCTTTCAACTGAAAATTATATTACAGTATGACTGAGCAACCTTAAGAAGCAATGCTAGCATTTGTGCCTACAATGAAAGCACCTGATTTATAGCCCAACCCCCTCAGTTATTAAACATAACCAGCTTGAAGAGCTATAGGTATTATGAAACTTCCATAATTCATGAATTCTACATTCATGAACTTCAGTAGTATATACAAGAGTCTATTATTACTTTGTGGAAAGCAATTAAAACGATGGCAATAAGGCTTCTTCTCAGAGTTTCAAAGCATTAATCAGTCAACAGAACATGCAGACATAGCCACTTGAAGCCACAGAACCAGGATGATAGAAATTCCAATCCCTCCAGTTTCCAAGAGAAAAAAACCTAAACCCTACATACAGCCCTACATTTGGGTTTAATAGGCTTTGTATAAGAAAGTTTGGGACACAGCACCACTGAATACCACTAAAACAAGTCCTCAACAGATGAGGATGTTATTTTCAGTCCCTGCAACTCACCTCTGCTGATGCGCTGCTTCTCTCCAGAGAGAATACCAGGGCTGTCGATGATACTGATGCTCTTCAGTACCTGGTTAGGTAACTGCGAACACATGAACCTGCAGTAAATGAGAAGGGAAAAAGAAAAATACATTAACAAGAGATGTAGCCCATGTATAGATTGTCCCTTGAGAGCTCCCATTTATGCATCTGCTTTTAGAAAGACTCAAGTGACATTAAAAAAAAGAAATCATTTCTGAAGTCCCAATGAACCCCTATGTTTGGCAACCGTGAATGTGTGAGAAAAAACGTAAACAAAGAGCTTTTCATAAAAGAGGAAACACAGGAAAACCTTGCAAAAACTATGTTTGCTGCTGACAGAATTCCAAATTTTGCAAGAGCTGAGAACATTGGCCATATATCCAACATTAAATAAAGACTCACAAAACAAACATGACCAAAATGTTTGTATGGCCAAAATTACTACTGGCAAAAAAGAATTCTTCATTTACTCCAACTTCTGCCCAAATTCAGAGATTCCAAAGAAAAAGGAAGGAGGCAGAAAGTCATACTAACAATATGGGCAGGGGGATTGAAGCCAGATGATCTTTAAGGTCTCTTCCAACCCAAACCATTCTGTGATTCTACGAATATGTTTATATTTCAGTCACTGGCAAGTCACCCTCTCACCTGTCCTGGCAGTATTTGAATGGTTCATCTTCCATCACCCTTCCTTAGGTGGAACTTGTGGAGGACTGAAAACAACACAGTTTCTCCCACAAACCTAGGCAATGCTGTCACATTGCCAGAACCAAGAGTTCAGATTACATACAGCATGCTCTAACAATAACCTCCTGCCTCTGTGGAGACAAATTCAATGGTGCTATTATGAAAAATAAATAATTCATGAGGCCTCCAAGAGTCACGCAGAACACCGTGTGCATTAAACACAAGCTACTCTGATGCTTCTGGGGCGGTTGATTGAAGAACTTCACCTCCCTTCATCATAAACTGCCTCTAAGAGATTTGCATAAGAGTTTAATCTTCTTATAGGGCAGCAGCTGAAGACTGTACTAACAAGCACACAACACAACCTACCTGACTCCTGCGAAGCTGCCCATAGGCAGCCTAGCACAGGATCAAGTTGCAGGCGCAGGCTGTAAGAAACCCTTGTTAACCCCTCACTTTAGAAAGCACACTGCCTCAAGAGTTATCACAGACAGCAAACCTTAACTGTGCCAAAGTCAAGCAAGAACTTTAAGAACAAAGATAACCTGAGTGAGGCAGAATTCAGGCAAATATGAGGTACAAAATGTACGAGACATCAGTTTGGAAGCTATTGTTGGACAGGTCACGATCCAAATGATTCAAAGGAAATCAGGAAGAAAAAAAATCCTTATACCTCGCTTCACCTTGTTTGTTGAGTGACCTTGTAGTCATGAGTCCGTAACAAAAGCACACAGCATCCCTTCTTGGGTACAACAGAAGCAGCAGCATCAGCTACACCTCTTCCCGATATTCAAGAGGGAATAAAGAAACAGCCATCTTGGCCTGATAAAACCTTAGCATGTGTAAACAGCACTAGCCTTTATGGTTTTTATTTCTGTTTTGGGTTTGGTTTGTTTAACTTTTTTAGTGAACAAAATTAAAAACTGATTTTTAGGTTTTTATTTTGTTTTAATTTTAGTGAACCACCACGTTATAGAAAGTAGTATATATCTTAAGCAAACTCTTCCATTAAGGCTAATTTTCTACAAACTTAAGGGATGCTTTTGAAAGAGCAGTGAGGTATTACTGAATAAAATAACTTCTTTTTTAACTTTCCTAAACCTAAAGGAGACACTATGTTAAAGCAAACATATTTTGTGGAGCCACAAAGAAAATACATTTGACTGTGTCAACCATTACAGAAAAATAACATTACTATGTACAACATGAAGTAGCTTTCACAAATTTGGAAGTGTCAAGACTGAATTTTCATATATAACTATATATATATTTAATCACTTAATTTTAACCCTAGAAGCCCAGCACTTGATTAGTATCACAGAGATGTTTCTAGACCTATCTTACAGGAAGATGGGCACCATTATTTCAGCTGATCAACACAGTAGTATTTTGATTTAGGCATTACCCAGAATGGAGCAGCTGGAAAAGGCTGTGCAAGAAAACAGAGGACAACAGGCCTCAGAAATGTAAGGACACTGCAGTCTTCGCAGCAGTCATTAGTGGCAATCGGAGAAATAAAGTATATAGGAAAAGGATATGAAATAAAAAGATAAACTGAATTAATTTTTAGAATATAGTCATAATCCAAAGAAAACAGATGGGTTAAAAATCCCACATCCAATTATTTTAATTAATAATTATTAATATTCCAGACAAAATTGTAATGCTAGCTGTATTTGAATATGTCTTTTCAACATCAAGACTTGGCTCTGAACCATTACTTCGTACACGACCTGTATGGTAAGTGCTGCACCATAAAAAGCAAACTACATACTCTCTACCTAATGAAAACAGATATTAATAAAAAAAAAAGCATTACAAATATAGTTGTGTGAATGAGATGACTGTAACTGCTTATGACACATTAGATCTTTGACACTGTCATATTATAAAACTATTGCTAAAGAAAACCAGCTTTATTAGATTATCCTTGCCAAAATGAGTTAAACTGTTTGCAAAAATGAAATTAACAGGTCTGTAATCATCTGCTGATTTTTTATTTTTTGGGTCTTTTGCATTAACTTTGGGTGCCTTGAAGAATCCAGTAAGAACTTATACTCCTTTTTGTGTCCATTCAGATATCTGTTAGAATAGCAGAAGACCACGCATTTCTTCTCAGCAGCACCAATTTACTTCCAGATCATCAGGTATGCTGCAGTATTCTTTCCTCACTTACTTTAATCTGCATGTAAAGGCACACTAGTCCTGTCTCCATCCCCTTCCCCCCACAGCTTTACTTAAAAGTACACAGGAGAAATAAAGGGACAAGTTTCTCCATTCAGGAGCCTTACAGTCTATCACAAGCAGGGAGACACAGGGGGAAGTAAGAAGGGGTCATGGAAAAAAGAGGTAACATAAATGAATTAAGCAGCTCATTAGTAAGTACCAGCCTTGATTGTGCTACTGTGTTCCTGTTTGGTTTTAGTTTCTCCATTACCTCAGCTGCTGTTTCCTTTCATGTTACATTTAGATAAGAAGGGCATTTAACTTCACGGCCTGAGTGTCCATATCCTTAAGTTCTCCCATAAGGCAAAAAAACTAGGATTGGGAAATAGTTTTAAAACAAAAGTAGGGGTAATACTGGGTATAAATGATTGTCAGCATGGCAAGCAAGAGAAGGAAAAGTAAAATTATGATTGCAGGTAAGAACAGGGAGATGTTATTCAAAGATACTGAACTGAAGCGTAAGACATTTTCATGTAGGTGAAGAAGGAAAGAGAAAAGAGTTGACAAGTCTTGAAAAATCAGCAATATGGCATACTGAGGGTGATACTAAGGGCATGTAAGCACATAGATCTCCACTGCAAAGCTAAGGAGCAAATATGACTATTGCAGAAGATAAGGTTGCCCACAGCACTGTGGTATAACAGTATCACAGTCACCAGAAGAACTGGAATAATTTAGTCAGCTACTTTGAATGTACATCTTTTTAGCTAACAAATAGATAATCTATCTTGTGCAAGATTCAGAACCTGACACATCTACCTGGATAGATGATTTAGCCAAAAAAAAAAGATGTGTCTACCATTCATCCAAACAAACACATAGCATTATTAGATGTTCTGTGCAAATATTTGACTATTGTGCAAAATACTATGTGCAGTATAATTATATTAATTCTTCATATAGAGCATAATGGTGGGGAAAGGAAGAAACAGAACAGTGATTTGGAGGACAGGACTTAGCCAATAATATTACAGAAGGGGGCCTTGGACCACAGTTATTTAAAATGGGAGTTGGCTGCAGCTTCCCACAGCACATGTTCTTATCACTCTGCAAAGTGATAGCCAAGCCAACTATAAGCACCTATAAGCTTTCTTTTGTGAATAAGCACAGCAAGAGATAAGGCCGTACATGACAAACTTTTAACACGTATGCCAGCATTTATCAGCCAAACAGGAAAGTTTATTGTTAAAAGAGAACCAGTTGGCTTAAAAAGCCAGGCCTCCATGTCAAGTTACCATCAAATACAGGAAGAAAACAAGGTGATTGCTCACACAATACCAGCAAAGTTATTAATAACTTTAAACTGGAAATGTTTAGTCTGCTACTTAAGTTACCTATGGCAATATCCACAGCCCCTAAACAACTCTTCCCTGTTTTGCAAATACACAGCAGCCACCCAGACACTAATGCTAGCATGCTGGTCTATGGGACTGCTTGAAGATCAGCTAGTCAAAATTAAACATTTAAGAGTCTGAAAGTGTACTTATCCAGAAGGCATATACAAATTAGAAGACAGCAAACAAACAGATCTCACCTGTTCAGGAAAGCATTTCCAAAGCGGCTGAGTTTACGGAATGGCTTCTTAGGATCAACAACCAGGGCATTTCCAGGAACATTTCCTTCTGCATCTCCATACATCACAGCAATAAAAGAATCTGTGGTAGGCTCTGGACCAATCCGCATGCCTGGAAAGTCTTGTTCGAGCAGATATCTAGAGATGGAGAATATGTGAAATAATAATACAATAATATTATATTATTATAATATTATATATTATAATAATATGTATTATATTATTATATATCATATATATTATTATATATAATATATATAATGTTGTAAAAATAATAACTGGAAACTATGGCAAAAGCAAGTATCTATAATTCACGTGGAAATTCCCAATTATATACACCCTCTAGAATAATAAAAGTACTTTTTTTCCTGCATTACATTATTTCTACTAACTAGGGAGAGAGAAAAACAAAACAAAGGAAAACCAAAAACCAAACAAAACCAACTGAGTTCCAGGTTTTCCACAATTACTGGGTAAAATGGTACAAACTCAACTGCAGCACCTGAACTATTCACGTGGATGCTTCTACCAATAATCCCAGTGCTGTATGTTACACTACAAGGCATTGCTGCTTTTGTGTGTGCTTTCAAGCCTACACAGGTGCTGCTGGTACTAAAAGGGAGTGATCTGAAACGACACATAAGCAGCATTAGCGTGCTGACAGATCTAACCCTTCAGTGAACTCAGTACGTTTAACAACTCACCTAATCGCAGGCAGCAATATGACAGTTATGAGGCAATAGTAAAATATGTTTGAGAGTGAGGAAAGGATTTTTTTCCTTTTGACTCACATATCAAAAAGGAATTGGTAACTAAGTTAGACCTGCAGAACTTGAGGCCTAACAGTAACATACTTCTGAGAGGCATCAGGCAGTGCTGTACCAACAGAAAACACCTTCCATCTCAGTCGGAGTAATCCTCTCAGAGATGCAGACAATACATACTCAAAGGACCAAGTCTGATACACCAAGTTTGGACTTCCTGGGCAACAAGGTCTCAAACAAAGGATGTGCATGTTTAAATGCTAAAACTTAATGGAACTGAGCATGTATTCACAGAAAAATACATGCTAAACCCAAAGTGTTTTCAAGAATGCTGTAATGTGACATTACAGGAACATTAGAATTCTCCAAATCAAGTCATCTTGTACTTACTAATTCCATGGGTTCCAAATTACCCTGGAGTTCTTAAAATAAACCCACAATTGAAACCAACAACAATTTAACTTTACATAGTCAAAGCTGCATTTAAGCAAGCATTTTTCTATAGGCACAGGTGATGGTCCTACATCCAATGACAGCACTAGTTAGGTTTGAGCACATCTATATTAACAACAGTCTTTGAATAATAGGTTTGTTCTGGCTCTTAATCCAACAGCCCCCTATGCTTGTTCTGCTATCATTTCATAATTCATTACTGATTTGAGAGGACTTGCAGGCTGCTTTTGCTTAAAAAACAAAACCAAAACACTTTACAAGGTTTGTGTACTTGCTGAACAATCTGTTTGTCTTTAAATGCAATGCCAAACATTCACAGACTTTACAGATGAGTGCACAGAAGCTGAATTTAAGGAACTAAACGTACACTACACATTTCAAAGATCGTTTTCCACTGCCCTTACCAAACTGGCTCAAATCAGCTCAGTCTATGATATGGGAGGCTCAAAGCACAGACGAGTTATTTACATGGTATTTCCTGCAGCTCTCTGCTTCCACACAAACCAAGAAAAACTAATAAATAAATGCCAATGTTACAATCTGTGGGAAAGAAGGAACAGAAGAACACTCATGCCAGAACATGCCAAAGTCAATTTGTTTTACTGCTAGAATAACCTATACCTAATGCACATTAACAGGAAAATAAAACTAGCCCCCCTCCAAAAGCAAAAAAAAAAAACAATACAACACTCAAACCTCCCTGCACAGGCAGGAGTGTACAATGCAGCAGATCCCTCATCTTATGAAGTTGATTGTATAACAAAGTGAAGATAAAACTCCTCGGATAGCATTTGAGCCCTTCACACATGGAAACCCCAGACTTTCAAGTGTCACATCTGAAACACAAAAGCGTGTTCCTGCCTCCTTGCAGAACACCACTGCAGACTAGAGCCCTCCAGAACAGGATGCAAAGGCTAACTCACAGGAGCCGCTACAATTTTCCAGACTGGACTTATCCACAGAATTGATTTTGAAAGATCAATTACATTTTTCTCTTCTAAAGCAATGTTTCTAACGTGCCATAATAAAAGGTTCTACCTCAAAGTCTCTCAAATCTGTTTTTCCTCATTGCTCCTCTTTTAAAAGAGAAAGGATCTCTATGCGACTCATAATTAAGTTCTTCTCTTGATACAACTGTCATTCCCAGACTTCTGCTGACAGAGGCAGCAATCCATAGAGTGGCAACACATATGGCAAGAAGCTCCCAGAGCAGCAGTAAAGAATATTGTACTCCACCAAATGCACGTGACCAAAGTGCCTTATCCCAGGTCAGAGAAAACAACATGATGGGATCTGAATACACGGTAAGACACCTCCAGGGTAACAGGATAATTGCTATCCATTGTAAGTTCATGATCCTGCCAGGTATGGTTACGGACATTCAGTGGTGGTGGTCTTTTAGACAGCTAAGAAAATAATCTCATGTCCTCCTCATGAAGTTGCTGCACACGTAACACTTGCAGAATTTACAAGGAGTTGGAACTATGAAGCATCTTTCATGATTTGCACCATCTGTATTTTCAGCTTGGAACTCAATAATGAAAATTCAGATTAACTCATTGAAATGACTAAAGAATAAGGTGCTACTGAACTGCAGCGATACTTCCAAGTTAATGTCAAAGGCAGCTGTAAAAAATCAGGCTTTTTTAGTGATAACAATCCAGGAAGGCAAGATCTCCTTCCAAATAACAAGTCCCACCCAACCAAGTCACAGTGCTGAGCCTGGTACAGCCATCCAACAGATAGAGGAAACACTTTGCAAGGCAGGTATTTTCCACCAAGACTGATTCATAGTTGCACTCCAAGAATCATACTAAAATAAACTCCAGTACTTGAGCACTGGCTGTACAAGTGTGCTGGTTTTGGCTGGGATAGAATTCATTTTCATCACATTAGTTAGTATGCAGCTATGTTTTGGATTTGTGCTGGAAACAGTGTTGATAATAGAGATGTTTTTGTTATTGCTAAGCATTGCCAACAGAGTGAAGGCCTTTTCTGCTTCATCTCATCCCACCAGTGAGTAGGCCAGGGGTGCACAGAAAGCTGGCAGGAGACACAGTGGGGGCAGCTGACTACAAGGGATGTTCCATACCATACGGTGTTACGCTCAGCAGATAAAGCTGGGGGAAGAAGGAAAGGGACGGATGTTCAGACTGATGGCGTTTGCCTTCCCAAGTAACCATTATGTGTGATGGAACCTTGCTTTTCTGGAAATAGCTGAACCAGTGGGAAATGGTGAATTCCTTGTTTTGCTTTGCTTGTGCATGCAGCTCCTGCTTTACTTATTAAACTGCTTTTATCCCAACTCATAAGTTTCCTCTCTTTTACTTTCACAATTCTCTCCCCATCCCACCCAGGCAGGGGAAGCAAAGCAACCAGCTGTGCAGTACTTAGTTAAGCCACAACACTATCTCACATACAACTAAACAAAACCTAACCTTTTCGCTTGGTCACTTACATGAAAATTAAGCCATGACAACAAGCTATATCATACTTCCTCTATGCATGAAAATATCAGTTTCACTTAGCTACACAAAAGAGATAAGAAGCCTTCTGTAAACCAAAAAGCTGCAAATATTGTTGTACAGTATGCTATATTAACACAGGAAAATACCTGGATTTTTAGCATCTGCAACTGAATGCCCTTCTCAGGAATTTACAGCAGAGAGGGAGTTCAAAAAGGTTCACAGGAAGAACGCTTAAAAATAGCAAAATCCCAAAGACAGTCTAGATCAAACAACAGACATCCTGTTGACTGTTCTCCCTTTGTTTTTACCTGGGCTAATAACCTTTCTGCTTTGCCAATAAACATTCATCTATGTTCCTTTGCAAGATGTATAGCCAGGCCACGGGAAAATGGTTTACGAAGTTCCAGAGACAGCAAAGATTATTCACAATTGTGGATACTGATAATCATCTGAACCCTAAATGCCTTAACACAAATAGAGGTGAACTGGACAGGGCAGCACTGAGTGTGGATACCCTGTGATGCACTGGGAGACAAACTCAAGTCTCCCTTCATAAGGCTGCTCACCTCCATCCTACATACTGCACCAAGTCCTCCATACTTTCAAACAAACACACAACAAAACTAGCAGATGATTGCTTTAGTTAAGAATTCTGCTCCAAATACTTCAACTAAAATGTTCATGTAGAGCTAGTAACACAGAAGTTCCAGCTTTCACCAGAAAAAATTAAGATGGACCTTTTCCCCTGTGAAGAAATAGATGCTGCCCATTCCTGCAATTCAAGTGATTGCATGCTACTGGCAGACTCCAGATACTATACATACAAAAGGGTGCTTTCACAAAACCCAGCTCTGCTGAGTTAAATAGAAGGAAGTTTACCATTTTAGCCTCTGAGTAACACCTACAAGCAAAGTAAAAGCACGGCCTGGCAAGCTAAGGAATTTACTTCTGGTTTTCCTCATCTTGACAAGTTCTTTAAAAAAAAAAATCAGAAAAGTTATAAACGAGATAAACATTATTTGACTAGAAGTTTAATTCAGTGTTAGAAGGAAAGAAAAAGGTCAGCAACTACAAACTTGCAGCTCCTATCTTTTTTTCATATACTACAACTCTCCTGTCCCTCCTTTCCCCGCTTCTTTCTCTAAAGCAGCCAGGAGAAATTAAGAGAATTACAGAAGCTACAAGGACTAGCAGCTCATGTAAGATAGGCATTTGGCTCTCACCCATTAAAAACAGACAAGTATTAACATTTGGGCCTGGATATATTTATTTGAATTGTCAGCTTTGTCAGATATTTGACTGAAGCCGTATCACCATGTTACACCTTTGACAGTGAAACTGGCCTGTTTCACTGCATTGTTCCAAGCACAAAGATATAAACAGCATCAAGTGACAAACCATAAGAGCTGCTGGAAAACGGGCAGTGTTTGTTTGCATCTCTTAATCCCCAAGGACATTCAATCATTGCTAGATTAGTGTTTTCCATGAAGACTTAATGGAAGGAACTGGGTGGATGTGGATGTGTCAGAGGTACGAAAATGTTAAGTTCTCATGATAAGGTCTAAATCAAAGTAAATCCCAAATGAATATATGTCAGTTAAACAGAACTGTTATGTTCAAACATAAAAAACAGTAAACAAACAGATCTAGCATGTCCTGCTGACTATGAAAAAGAGAAATGTAGAATAAAAATCAGTTTTAATTAAGATTTAACATAATGCTTGCTTGCTAAAATGCTAGTGGGGGAAAAACACCATAGGTGAACTTTATTCTAAGAAAAACTATCTATAATAAGCCTGGAATTATAACCATCTTGAGTGTATATGACATTTTTCCATGGGAAATTCAGCCTACCAGAGGGGAAATTTATTTGTGACTGACCTGGACACTATAATATTTTCCCATGTTGTCCTTTAAGCCTTGCCTTCAGCCTGTGAGCACTTCTCTTTTTTGTTTTTCTCCTCTGAATTGGATTTTTAATAACAGCCACTGTGACACTATTGTCTAAGCTGCTGCCCATCTTGAATGGAGCATTTTCTCATGCTTATTCAGACAATTATTATCTATTCTATAGCAAACACTGATGTAATGCATGTTCATCATGGTGAGGTCAGACTGTGGTCCTTTAGAAGCAACCACAGCTGCTGTTACTGGCTGGGACTCTACAGACAATGCCTGTCTTCTCCAATACCTAGTAAAGGGTAAAACTGTTCTGCAATCTACCTAAAAGGGGCAGGAAAAAGGGGCAAGTGGGTGAAGAAAAGGACACATCACAGTAAACTCATCTCCCCCACTGAGTCAGATATTTTAATAAAATGTGTAAGAAAACATCTTCGAAACTTTGTCAGATTTGTCTGGGCATCTTCATGCAGCAGTGACCAATACTAAAAAGAGCTGAAAATAGCTATAATGAATGACACTTCTTTTCATTCAGACTGTATGTTTGTATCCGTCAACCCTATTGCTCAGTATTTTATGGTTGCAGTGATAACAAGTTACTCACAAAGCAACAGTACCAAAAATACATCTAAGGCACTGCAAGGAGTATCAGCGTTTCTAAGTGCAATATTGGCTTGCACTCTAGTAAAACATGGACAGCTATGAAGGACAGAAAAGTTGACCGTACAGAAGTCAAGTGTGTTCTCATCCAAGGCAAACTCTTAGATGGGGGGGTGACGGGGGGGGTGACGGGGGGGTAGAAGTTTCCCCTTAATTGTAAATGATACAGCAACTCAGCTGACAGAACAGGTTCTGGTACATACTCATTTGGGACCATTCTGTCTCTGTATTACCCATGCCCTGTCCATGAGCCTGGTAACAATGTGTATCTGGAAATATATAGAGACTGAAAGAGCAACTGTCATTTTAAAGAAGAAAATGAATCTACATGAATAGAGAAATGCTGGTAAGCCCCAAATCACCTCCCTGCAAATACAAATCACCTCCCTGCAAATACACACCTTCTTGTGACTACCTTCTGCCTTTGGGGTCCTGAAACTAAGTTTATCTTCTTTTAATTACAGCCCTATTTCTATTTTTACAGTATTTCTCTGAACAAAACCACTTGAAGTATTTGCAGGAACTTGGTAATAATCGCTAAAGAACCATGTTTAACTTTATGCTTCCAATTAGCTTGTTGTAAAACCAGAAAAGAAACATGATTAGCTCTGCAAACATCTGAAAAGCTCTCAGGTGAGTAAAGGTAAACAGCTCTTCAGTGGAGAAAGGAGGTAGATCTTCTGCACTGTGAAAACAGGCTGCCTGCAACCTTTGGAACCAAAAGAGAAACATCTGTAAAATGTACAGAAGAGCTGTACTGAACTTTGAATATAATAAGTATGTCAAAATCTGATCCAAGTGACCGATCAGCATCTTCTGCAGTTTTGTATGACCTCAGACTGATTTGTAAGAGGTGTATGAAAAGCACACTCAGTTTATGCAAAATATTCAACGCAATGCCTGATGCACACTCCAGCTTCCTAACACCAGTCACCAACAGACTAGACTGCATTAAGGGAGATAGGAAAGACAACAAATACTAAAACATCAGCAACATAGTTAAAAGCTGCCTTATTAGTAATACTGCTTGTTCAATGCGACTGATCAAGGAGTTGGGGGGGAGAGGACTTTCCAGATACCATGCCGGTTTTGCTCAGAACTGTCATTTTGTTTCTCTGTTATCTTCACATCCAATCTATGCATTAAACTACTTTTGGGAACGGAGGGGGAGGAAGGAGACACGGGTAAACGGTCTGCAATAGCCGATGTAATCGCGCCGTTTTAACGCGAAGTGCCTATGCTTCCTTCAAAATAATTCAGAGATTAAGAACTGAAGCTATGAGGAAGTAGACAACGAGGTTACACTTCTCAGCAGAGCACGAAATCGAGACCCTATTCTTAAGCAGGAAGCTGACATGTAACAGAGCGGAGAGCAGCACGCATCTTCTACACGGCACGGGGGACTCTCGGACCGGACATCAGCCCCGGTGCTGCGTTCCGTTCCCCGGGACGGCTCGCTGCTGGCACGCAGGAGGCATTTATCCCGCAGCAGGAACGCCCTGGGCAGGAGCGGAGTGAGCACTGCGGTGGGGCGAGGGTGACAGGGCGAGGGCAGGCACCCCCGAGCGGGGCCTCGGGGAAGGAACCGCACGTCGGGGGAGTCGCCTACCGTATGAAGGTGGTCTTGCCGGTGCTGTACTGCCCCACCAGTAACACCATGGGCTTGTTCTCGAAGTCGGCCTCCTCCAGGGCGGGCGAGTGGAAGTCATGGAAGCGGTAGTGCTCCTCCAGCGGCAGCAGCTTACGGAGGTAGAGGTCCCGCAGCCCACCAGTCACCGTCTGCACCACGTCGGTGCCGCCGCCGCGCTCCCGCCCGCCGCCCTGCTTCCCCAGCCAGCTGAACATCCCGACAGCGTCCCGCAGCACTGCCGACAGCCACCGCTCCGCACAGCGCCGCACACAACCTCCGCCGGGGCGGGCAAGCCCAGCCCACACCCGGACCCGGCAGGGGCGGTGCTAGCGCTAGCAACGCGGCCGGCTCTGCGGCGGGGCGGCGAGCGCCCCTCTCCTTGGTATCAGGTCTGTGGTGTGCGTGTGCTTTGGTTTTTGTTTGCTGCTGACTCTTCGGTCACAAACTCGCCTCTGGAAGTTAACTGTACCCGCTGTTAAGTGCCAGCCCCCGGAATAAAAGCCCTTCAACAGCCCCGATCTGAACACGGAATCGCCCAAATGCTTTTCATGTTTTACTGATGATGGCTGCTGGCTTCGGATGCCTAAGAAGTGTGTGACTAAGCACCGTGGGGGTTAGCCTCAACGTTAGGCAACAAAGGAAAATTCTTAGTATAACACTGAATTTTTGCTGTGTATATCAGACACAGTCATTAGTTTTAACCTTACACCTTCCTATTGTGTTAAGGCACGGGGGAGGATCACCTTTTCCCTTGATTTTTACAAGAGATTTTAACGAGATACGATGCTATAATCACTGACGCATTGAAGTAAAAGCAGTGTTTTATTTCTCTGAGATAAAAGTTTTTCTGTGCTCACTCATTGCTTGGAAAACAAAAGGCTCCCAGTTAAAAAGAATAAAAGAAAGGAAAATATAAATTAAAATAAAATAAACCCTAAAAGGAGGAGAGGATTTTTTTTTTGCTGAACCTGTACTTACACATTATGCGTGTCTCTTTTGCATCAAACTTACGGTCTTAGCTCCTTTGGAACACCCTTATCATGAAAATCCCCTTTTGCTGGTCCAGCACATCTGCCAAGTCACATTTTTAGCTATGTACCTTTCTTCCTCCTAATTTCCATCTGGAATACTACATTTTCTCTATATGCTCTAGCTCTTTTCCAAATACATCAGCAAGTTTAGATATGCCCTTTCCATTTCCCTCCTTCCCATGCTGTTCCTCAAAGAGCAGATGTTAGGCTCTAATAATGCTCAGTCCTAAGAATTTAACCACTCTGCCTTTTCTTGGTTCCTTGCTTCACATTTTATTTAGGGCTGTGCATGTGTTTTGCAACTCTTGTTGCAATTTCCATGCTGAGTCTAAAGATTTTATAGTATTTCATGTAGGGTCTTGCTGAACAGCTTCCTCATTTTACAAGGGCATGTAGTGATAGGACAAGGGGGAATGATTTTAAACTGAAAGAGGGGAGATGTAGATTGGACATTAGGAAGCAATTATTTCCTGTGAGGCACTGACACCAATTGCCCAGAGAACTTGTGTCTACCCCATCCGTGGTAGTGTTCAAGGCCAGGTTGGATGGGATGAGCTTTAAGGTCCCTTCCAACCCAAACCATTCCATGGTTCTTTTAAAACCCTCTTTTTACAGCTTGCTTTTGTATTCTTCTCATTTTAATTACTTTTCCCCATAGGTTAATCCACAGTAATTAAGTTATCATTGCAGTTACTTACATCTTCTGCATGTTGCTTCAATAAATTGTTTTAAATGAGTCCTTTAGGAGTTCTGACTATTCCTGATGATTTCTCATATGCAAAAACATCTGAGCTGTGGAAAACCTAACTCCTGCAGTCTGGGGTGAGTGCTTTCCCACTGTCTTTGGTGCATCCGCTATTTGGTGACTGGAGAGCATCACAGAAAGAGGGCAGGTACAACACTGTCTCAGGCTGTCCTCCCAGCCTCTGGGGACTGATGATTCAGTGCAGGGCTGAGTCAGATGCAGAGCCTTTGTATGCTTTAGTCCTTAGAGAAGAGAGGTGCACAGTCACTCCTGGTTCATCTCCTGCGGGGCACTACAGATTTCATAGATGGCTCTCTGCCTTTCGATCCTGTTGTTCTTCTCCTAGGTTGCAGATTCCTTATCTATTCACCCCTCATGAGGAAGTTGTTCCACCTCTTTGATCAGCCCTGACATTTTCTTCTGAATGCAGAGAACTCAGAGATACTGAATCATTATTTCATGTAAAGTTTTTTGCAATGGGGTAAAGTGTTCATTGTTCTCTCTGACCCCTTCATGGCTGCTGGAAAACTGCAGGAAGGGCAGGGAAGTGTTTGCACTTACACACCTCATTCTGCTTGTCTTCAGACTTCCTGCCTAGATGCTTCCTGCTGTCAGTGAGATGATTTTTACCCTTCGCACATTAAAGCTCTAACTGTATATAGGAACCTGGGAGTGTTTCCAAATTCCCAGGTCTGGCTATGGCCTCTGGCTACATCCCATCCCATACTGCAATGAGATCCAGCATGCATCAGCATGACTGCCTGCTCTCTTTGCTCTTGTTTCTTCTGTGGGAGGTAAACCCTGGGCATAGAGCCTGTACAGGAGCTGTATGGGCTCCTGTAGTGTGCATCACAAGTAAGCATTCACTGACCTAGGTGGCAAACAGAAGGATTATGTTTTTGTGCACCACCAAGGACGAGAACTTAAAGCTTTAAACCTTTGGTACATATCAATAACATTTAAATCCATATGCTAAAATACATTAGCCTGGGTCGGTTCATGGGGAGGTGGGTCTTAAATGTAATCCTAAACTCAAGGGGTCCCAGGAGTCTAGGGCAGTTCACATCTAGGTCTGGAGCAGGTATAATTTCATCTTCGATAGTTTTTCAGCAGCTGTGATATAAATTTGTTTGTTGTCTCACTAATAGAGGAAGAAGTACCTGAAATAAATGGCTTTAACATGTATTTGCTGTGAAAAATGTTTATTTGCTGTAACTCAAAAAACCTGTGGTATTTATAAACTTTAATATTTATTTACAATCACATAAAGACTCCTTAGTTCACAAAATGGGCTTCTTGGTTTTGTTCTAGAAACAATGGATTTTGTTCTCTGCTCATTTCTGGACTGGCAATCCTCCCTTTTTATAGTGCACAAACACAGTCAATGTAAACTTCCTCATGCTTCCTTGTCCACACATCTTGGCCTTGGCCTGAAAGGTCACTTCTTCAAGAATGTGTGGAGCATGGCCTCACCTAGCCATGCTCCTGTAGTTGTCAATGAGGGAAGCATGTTAATTCGTTAAGGAAGAGCTCTGGTTTTTGTGTTTATTTCCTTCACTGACGGACAGGCATGGCAAACAAAGTGCTATTCTTAGCATTCTTGGCTTTTCTTCACTTCCTAATCAAATTATTTTTTTAATTCATTAACAGACTCATATATATTTTATTTCATATTCCCCAGTGCTGGGCAGTCAGCCAAATGCTGGGTTCCCTCTTTGTCAGGCCCATACACACCATCCCTATCGGGTGTTTTTTGCAGTGGTTGCTCTTCCTTATGCTGTTTTTTCCTCTCAACGGCAGTACGCAAGGCCTGAAGTATCAAATCTTTGTTGTTCTGGATGTTGTAGTAACTTAGGTTCACTAGTTTGTCAAAATTTTCCTCTGAATAACTCAAATTGTTTATGTAATATGGACCACAGGAATCAGAAACATCAACGTCACCCTCTGCCATCTCTGAGGGACTACGTTTCACACCTAAGGGACAAAACAGTTACTCGGTTAATTAGCAAAAAGCAATTAGGATCAGGGTGTTTCTCGGGCATGTGCATGGAGTGGATCACACAACTCAAATTTTTCCCTTCACAGGCATTTTATTGCTGGGATATTTGGTTGGCAGGAGGGGGAGGTGGTGGTATGGCAAGTAAGGATTGTCCTGGGTACACTTGGAAAAGCCAAAACAGAGTAGGCCTTCTTTTGAGCACAGGAGGGTGAGAATCCTTACGTCGTGCTCTAGGTGTGGAGTGAGCTCAGCATAGTCCCCAGGTCTCCCTCAGTACTAACACTTTCCCAGCCCCAGCCTCTCTCCGTGCTGCTGTCTCCCAGCCATTGCAGCACTCTCCATTTCTACATAAGGTTCAAGTTAATGGCAACGACTCTTTTTCTCTTTCCTTCCCTTCTCCCAAAGCAGACAACAGCAGCAAGAACTCATGATAGCATGGTTTCTCTCCAGGTGAGGGTCAGGAAGCCACTGACACCTTCTGTGCCTTCCAGCTTTGACTCTACATCATGTTATTTCCCTCACTACTATCCTTTCATGCCTCCAGAAACAGGCTGCTGAAAATCCATGTATTTCAGTGATGCAAGCTTTCCAGAAGCACACCGACCTTCTTAGTGACCTGCCAGGTAGTCTTTCACCCAGCACAACCGAGCGCTTGCCTCTAGCTCAATCAGCTACATCAAGTCTTGGTTCCTACTGGGAAGAATTATCAAAAACCACAGAAAAAAAGATCTAAACAACTAGATTTTATTATCTAAACTGAGAGACTTCAGAGAGTCACTGTTTGGACATATCCTGGAAGCAGATGGCACAAATATTTATATTTCCCCAGACTACCTCCTACTATAAAAAACTACAGGCTTTATGCAACCTCAGCAGTGAGAGCGAACCTGATATTCCCTGAATCACTAAGATTTGGCAGGAACACTGAAAGAACTTTTTGTGCCTGTTTCATCATCCCAGGATAATCAACATATATATCACAGACCAGGCAAAATAATTAGACAGGTAGTCCTACAAGGTCCTCCCCCAAAGGATGGAGAAGAGAATCAGAAGAGTGAAGGTGAGAAAACCCGTGGGTTGAGACAAAGACAGGTTCATGAGACAGAAAGACAATAATAATAATAATGGTGGTAATAACAATATTGATAATAATAAAGAATTAGAATAGACAAAACAAGTGATGCACAGTGCAATGGCTCAGCACCCACTGACCAATGGCCAGCCATCTCCTAAACAGCAGCCCCTGGCCAGCTTTTCCCCTAGTTTATGTACTGAGTATGATGCCATATGGGATGGAATATTCTTTTGGCCAGTTTGAATCAGTTGTCTTGGCTTTGTCCCCTCCCAGCTTTGCTGGCAAGGTATAAGAAGCTGAAAAGTCCTTGACTTAATATAAACACTATGTAGCAACAACTAAAAACATCAGTGTGTTACCAACATTATTCTGAGACTAAATCCAAAACACAGTACCAGGTGCTAGGAAGAAAA